TTACTTATATCTTTAAAAAACAGTGTTTTAAGTTTTAAAACATAGTAAAAAAATGTATAACCAATATATTAGTCTTGCAGTGGGATAAATGAGTATAATCAAAAGCAACATATTTTGCCTATGGTGTGATGAGGTTGCTGTGAGTTGAAATTTACTGGAAGGCAAACAACAGCAACATCATTTTAATCAATACTTTATTCAAAGCTAAAACTTTCCCTCTCCCCTTGCTATAATTAAGGAGCCCTGGTCATGCAGTAGGGAGCTCTGGTGGCACAGTGACTAAGGCATTTGACTCTTAACCAGAAGGTTGGTGTTCAGACTCACCAGCCGCTCTGCAGAGGGAAGATGGGGCAATCTACTTCTGTAAAGATTTACTGCCTCAGAAATCCAAAGCTATGAGTTAGAATCGACTCCATGGCAGTGAGTTTGGAGTTTTTGTTTTTGGTCATGGAATAGTTAGGAGCTCGGCTACTAACCTGAAGGTTGGTGCTTTGCCCACCAGCCACTCTGCTTGAGAAAGATGTGACTATTTGTTTCTTTAATGATTATAGCCTTGGAAAACACTATGGGACCATTCTGTTCTGTCCTGATTCAGCCGTGATTAGTTATTGGTGGGAGACAAGTTGGTTTCTCTTTTTGTTGTTTATCTCTACTCACAAATTGCTGTATCTCATCATGATTTAAACTGGGGGATGAAATTGAGGTAGAGCAGCAGTTTTTTACCTGACCACAATCATGAAATAGCTTCATTCTTCCTGATCTTGATATGGGTTTAAGGCTTTCTCTTGTGTGTACTTCTGTGGGTGCTTCAGAGTTCCAAACTGGGGCCTGTACCACCTATGACACTCAGAAATTTTCCGTTCTACTAGCCAGTACCCCCTAACTCTCTAGGCTCTTAGTCTCTTAGACCATTCAACAGTTAATAATAATCTCCTTTTTTTTTTGTTTTTGGTGTTTTATCACCCCTCAGGTGATATCCTATGTGGAATTTGTAACAGCTTCATTAACACATGGGAGCTCTAAGCATTTGACTGCTAACCAGAAGGCTGGAAGTTCAAACCCACCAGCCACTTCTCAGAAGGAAGGTTGGGCAATCTACTTCTGTAGTGATAGTGCCTCAGAAACCCAAGGAGGGGTCACTATGAGTATATTAACATACAGTTCACATACTATAAAAATTACCTTTTTGAAGTGTGCATTTAATGGGTTTTAACATATGCACATAGTTGTGCAACTATCACTGCTGTCTAAATGTTAGGACACTTTTTATCAACTAGACAAGATTCTGAATATCTCCAGTCTGGCCCTTTGTGTGGCCCTGCTTTCTTGCCTCTCTCCTCCCTCCACTAACAGAGGTAGCTTCTAGTACTACTTCACTCTGGATCTTTCACCTCTATATTTTTTTCTTCTCCTGTGCTGCCTCAGAGTGATAGCCAAAGCTTCCATTTCCTTAAGTGTGTATCAGGCACCGGTCTTTAGTGTCCCCCTAACTCAGAAAACATATATCAAGTACACCAGAGTGTCCCATTAAAGCTTCTTTCATTGGCATAGGTAAAAGGCAGATACCTCCACATACTTTGAGAGGGGAGACACAAAAATCAGCATAACTCACTTCAAAGAAATCCTGCTTGGGAACTCTTTATACACTAGATACAGACTTTCGAGCTTCCTAGCCAGTTCTCAAGGAGCTTTGGTGGCATAGTGGTTAAAGCGTTCATCTGCTAATCACAAGGTCGAGGGTTGAAACTGAGAGTAGAACTGCCCCATAGGGTTTCCAAATCATTATGGAAGCAGACTGCCTAATCAGTTGTCTTTGGAGCAGCTGGTGGGTTCAAACCTCCAACCTTTCAGTTAGCAGCCAAATCCCTTAACAACTGTGCTACCAGAGCTCCTTACTTTTGTATAGGGGGTCTGAATAAATAATTGCACCTTTTTTTTCTTTTTTCCTATGGTATCCCAGGCCACTTGGCTATTTTTTCTTTTCTTCAAATTTGTGCTTTGATTTGGGTGAAAGTTTACAGTGCAAATTTGTTTTCCATGCAGCATTTCATACACATTTTGTTTCATAACATTGACTGTAATCCCCACAGTGTAACAGGTCTCCTTCCATTTCCTCCCTGTCAATTGCACTTCTTATGCAAGCTATATAAAAACTATTCTGGCCATTTCAAAGCAGTGCCTTACATCTTCCCTTTTAACCACGTTGTGTGCATTTAAGTAGACATTCCTCAGAGGCAGTCTTTAAGCATAATGTGCTGTAGTAAACATTTGAAAAGGAAAGTAAAAGAGGAATGGACACCTCATTTGCAGCTGGAATTGCATTATAAATCTGGGTTAAATATAATAAATGTAAATTAAAAGAAAACATTAGCATTTCTTGTTAGTTGAATAAATAAAGTCAACTTTTGGCTAAACAGATTATTTTATTGATTAACTTAAATTTAATGAAGGCTATAATTTTAGAAAATAAGTATTTAACATTTTCAATTCCTCTTGCTTTTTTTCCAAAGCTATCTGCTTCTGCTTACCAATAGATATACATTACACATGCTTAAAGTGGTTTGTTCTGGGTAGAAATTTTGGTAATCACTGTGAAAAGCTTTTTTATTTTCCTTCAAGGATTGCCAATCCAGGGAAATATATACAGGAGGATATTGACTAGCAGTGTTTGCCCCTTCCACAACGAAAATAGGATTATTGAGCCCCATCCAAGCCAAAAACCAAACTCACTACTATTGAGTCAATTCTGACTCATAGCAACTCCCACTGGGTTTCCAAGGCTGTAAACCTTTACAGAAGCAGACTGCCTCATCTTTCTTCTGTGGAGTGGGCTGGTGGGTTCGAACTACCAATCTTTGGGTTCGTAGTGCAATGAGTACATCACCAGAGCTCCTTTTTTAAGCCCCATGGCAGGGGGGAACAAAAATTTATCAATATACTACCTACTTATTGGATGCCATTGAGAAAATTGACCCTACAAAAAATGTCACCACAGAGACCTCTTTCTGTTAATTCAACTCATGTAGAGCCTTCCAAAATTTATTCATAAGCATAACCTCTTTTGTTGTCATAGCCACCCAACATAGTAACCAAAAAACAAAAAAACAAACGCACTGCCATTGCGTCTATTCGACTCATAGCAACCCCTTCTTGGGTTTCTGAGGTAGTATCTTTACGAAAGTAGATTGCCCAGTCTTCCTTCCAAGGTAGTGGCTTGAACCTCCAGCCTTCTGGTTAGCAGTCAAATGCCTTAGGCACTATGCCACGAGAGCTCCCGCCCAATATAGTAGGCATTATTATTATTCCCATGTCAGAGATGGAGAAATTGAACTTTAGAGGTAAAATGACTTTCTGAAGGACAAGTGATAAGTTGGCAGCAAAACTAGGTGTAGAAATAGTTAAGTCCATTCAGTGCAAAGTTTATAGTTACATATTCTAGAGATGTGGAAATCAATTAATGAATGGAAGAAATATGTACCATCATATTCTGAACTTCTCTCACCATGGCTATAGAGTCTCCTCAGCTTAAGGATGAAACGTAGAATTGCAATCTGAAAGGCATTGTTCAGTTCAGTCTGGTTACTGTGGTTTAAATATCTACACTTTAGGAATTCTGGCATCCTTAGGTCTCTGTCTGCTTCCACGAAGTAACCACAACCACCACCATTTTTCAGTTCTGTCTCTTAGTTGTCCCTGCTAGCCTAAGGAAAGTGGTTATTTCAAGAGATTTTTTTCTTCAGTTCTTTACTCTCTATGTGTTTGAGGCTATAAGATTTTATTCAAATTTAAAGCCATGTTGAGTAATTAAATAGACAGGAGGCTTAGGTTGCCGCTTTTACTACTGCAAGTGCAAATGGAGTCAATTTGCTGATGTGTAGATCATCTGTTACCTTTGTGTCCTAGGTAATATGCATGTGTCACTAGCAGAGGCCCTGGAGGTTCGGGGTGGACCACTGCAAGAAGAAGAAATATGGGCTGTATTAAATCAGAGTGCAGAGAGTCTACAAGAGTTATTCAGAAAAGGTAAGCTGTTTTATTTATTATTATTTTTTTTTGAGTTATCAGGTGGAATCCAGGAAGAGGTGTTTAAAAAAGCCCTTGAGGTCTTTGTTATATAAATTTTGAGAACATTGAGGATAGAATTGCTAAAGCTTTGGAGCCTTGTGTACTTTTTTGAGTGATGTAGGAGGTAACCACTGATTGAGTACAAGAGAGTCTAGAGCCCTGGGCAAGAAGAGTATTTAGGGATCTATGGTAAAGCTGTGTTGGTCTTGTTTTTCAATCCGAGAACAGGAACTTGAATAAAACTGTTTTGAGGCCAACCTAATTTTCTTATAACCTGGCTGTTCAAGTATCTGTGATTAGTCTAAAGAAAAGTTACTCATTTTGTCTAATACCATTTACCTAAAATTAACCTTTTAAAATAAATTTTGTTGCTTCATTTGTCTTACTTTAATTTTTCAGAAAATTGCCTATGCTACCAAGAGTATAGGCACTCCAGAATGTGGAGCAGTTAGCCATGCTCCAAAGGTATTGTTGAAGGAAGGTTTTGTTGGTGGAATTATTCAATTAATCATTAATGCTCAGTCAATTCCTCAGAAGGAAGGGTGGGTGGTCTACTTCCATAGTGATACCACCTCGGAAACTCAAAGAGGGGTTGCTATAAGTCAGGTCCGACTCCATGGCACATAACAACAACAACACTCAGTCAATTAATATTTAAGAAACATCTCATACATGTAAGGCATTGTGTGGAAAATCCAAATAAGTAGGTGTCACTGTTGTCCTAAATGGATTCATTCAGTTCAGACAGATGCATATGAAGAGTGTACTGTTTCAAGGTGGTGGTATTGTTGTTATGTGCCATTGAGTTGAACCCGACTCATAGCGACCCCTCCTTGGGTTTCTGAGTCAGTATCACTACGGAATTAGATTGCCCCACCTTCCTTCCGAGGAGTGCCTGGTGGGTTTGAACTGCCAGCATCTGGTTAACAGTCAAGTGCCTTAGGCACTATGCCACCAGAGCTCCTTGTTTCAAGGTGTTGTTGTTGTTGTTGTTGTTATTTGCCATTGAGTCGGCCCCAACTCATCTTTCAAGGTTGTCGGTGCCAAATTAGTAATACAGACAATAGGTACTACAGATGCTCAGAGAACAGAGAGTTGATGCTGTTATTATTACTGTTCAGTGCTGTGGAGTCAGTTCCAACTCATGGCGACACTGTGTACAACAGAACAAAATGCTGCCCAGCCCAGCCCTGTCCTCACAGTTGTTCTGTTTTAGTCCATTGTTGCAGCCACTGTGTCAATCCATCTCGGTTAGTGTCTTCTTCTTTTTTTTTTTTTTTCGCTGGTTCTCTACCAAGCATGATATCCTCCCTTCTCCAGAGATTGTTTCCCCCTGTTAGCACGACGAGGGTACAAGAGACTCTTCCTACCCTCGCTTCTAAGCAGCACTTGGCTGTGCTTTGTTCAACACAGATTTGTTTGTTCTTGCAGCAGTGGATGGTGTATTCAGAATTCTTTGCCAACACCATAATTCAGAGGCATCGATTCTTCTTCGGTCTTCCTTATTTGTTGTCCAGCTTTTGCATACATATGAGGCAATTGAAAATACCATGGCTTGGGTCAGGCACACCTTAGTCCTCAAAGTGTCATCTTTGCTTTTTAAGACTTTAGAGAGGTCTTTTGCAACAGATTTGAGAATATCTCGTTATATTATGTCAATGGTAGGATCACTGCCCTGAGCCCTGACCATGACTTATAGAATATAAAGTATCTTGCTTATGATGAGTTCTAAGAAGTCTTTCCTTTCTTCAAATTTTGTGATGTTCATAGAGATTGAATATCATTGAAAGGCAATTATTGTTTAATGTACTGGAAGATTACAGTAGAATTACTGGATGTGTTTTAAAATGAATTGTAAGGCAGCTGTGTCTTAAGCACTGTCCAGTGGGAGCTGTTTACCATAAACAAAAAACCAAAGTCACTGCCACTGAGTCAATTCTGACTCATAGTGATCCCCTTTGGGTTTCTGAGGCGGTAAATTTTTACTCCTTCCACGGAGTGGCTGGTGGGTTTGAACCACCAACTTTCTGATTAGCAGTCAAATGCCTTAGGCATTATGCCACCAGAGCTCTGGTTACCATGTTGTTGTTGTTGTTAAGTGCCGTCGAGTCGTTTCCAACTCATAGCGACCCCATGCACAGCAGAACGAAACACTGCCCGATCCCGCACCAGCCCCACAATCCCTGCTATACTTGAGCCCATCATC